AAAAAAAAAAAAAAAAAAAAGTTGGTTTTTTAAAAAATGTGTATTCCTGAAGACCTAGTAATTTCTCCTAAAGGAAGGTATCCTAAGATAAGATCAGGAATTTAGTCAAGGATGAATAGATGTATGGATGTTCAATGTTCAACAAAGTTGTAACACAGAGACAAATTGAAACAAACGTTTCCAGCCTTGAGATTTATAAATATAGGGTTGGGGATTTAGCTCAGAGGCATCATGCTTGCCTCACAGGTGCAAGGTCCTGAGTTTGATCCCTGGTACCAAAAAACAAAAAACAACAAAAAAAAAAAAAAGAGAGAAATTTATAAATGTAGTATATCTTTTCATCTATTAGACTGAAATAAAAAAGCATCAAAACCTACTTGACTGATGAAGCTCGGTGAGAGTAGGCATGTTCATATATTGCTGAAGGGGCTGAACTATTGAGTATAGTTCAAAAATATTAATAACACTACTAATGCATTATCCTATGTTTTACTTTTGGAGTCCACTTTGTAGAAATATGTTTACATGTATGAAACTGCTGTATACAAAGTTATTTGTCACATAATAATTTGTAACTGGAAACAGTAGTGAATGAGTTAAATAAACTTTGGAAATTATTCAGAGGATTATTGTGAGGCTGGAGAATAAAAAGAATGAGAAGTTCCATTTTTATACATCCAACATATAGTTACTAGCCACATGTGGTTATTTGAATTTAAATTAATTAAAATTAAATAAAACAGTTCAATCCTTTGGTCATACCGCTTTTAAAGTGCTTTGTAGCTATATATGACTTTTGGCTGTTGGATAATGCAGGCATAGAACTTGGCCTCACTGGAGACAGTTCTATTGGACAATACTGCTTTACAAATATAATAAATATTTTAAAATGCTAAAATGCATATAACATAATGGGCATTTAAAGAAAGTAAAACAACTCAAGTTCTTTGTGGAAGTTTAAAGATTGAGTACCAAACATAGACTCTAGACCCTCATAGATTCTTTTTTGTTAGAATCAGTAGCCATCCCATTTTTAGCAGTCAATTCACCATCATTTTCAGATGTGTTGATGTGATTGCTAGTGAACTACATATTATGAAAAAGCAATCAGTTGGTACAATTGTTAGATGCAAACAAATAAGGTAATAGAATTCTTGAGAAATTAATAATTTTCCAGCAAGTCTTTACTGGTTTTTGCAAGCAAAAAACTTGGACCAACCATGCCTGAAAAGTGTCTCCCTCAGCTCTTTACTGAGTGCAAACTCTAAATATTTTAGGTGCTCTCAAATACCTCATCTACCTGTTGTCATACCTTCTTCCTTGAGTGTTCTCAAATAAACTACGTATAATTTTTAAATAGTGGTACAGCATATTAAAATGTTTATCTTAGTGTCTGGTTTATTTTACTGTTGGTCATGAAAGTAATATTTAATTTTATCACCGTAGTGGGCAGTGTTTTTTTAAAATATGGAATTGAATTAGATAGATTTGAGATACTAATAAATAATGTTTTAACAGATCTATAGAAAATAAGGAAGTTCTCCCTCTGGAAAATAAAGTTGTAGACTGTGGAGGAAAAAAATCACCTATGAATTTATCTTACCAAAGTCATGACTGTTCTGGTGCCTGTCTGATGAAAATGCCATCAACCATCAAGGCAGAAAACCCTCTGCAATTACCAATCACATGTCACTTCCAAAGACGACATGCAAAGACAAACTCTCATTCTTCAGCACTTCATGTGAGTTATAAAACTCCTTGTGGAAGAAGTCTGCGGAACATGGAGGAAGTCTTTCGTTACCTGCTTGAGACAGAATGTAACTTTTTATTTACAGATAACTTTTCTTTTAATACCTATGTTCAGTTGACTCGGAATTACCAAAAGCAAGAAGAAATTGTTTCTGATGTGGATATTAGCAATGGTGCAGAATTAGTACCCATTTCTTTCTGTAATGAAATTGACAATAGAAAGCTTCCACAATTTAAGTACAGAAAGACTATGTGGCCACCAGTGTATTATCTAAACAACTTTTCCAACATGTTTACTGATTCCTGTGACTGTTCTGAGGGCTGCATAGACATGTGAGTAGAAAAACATGACATTTCGGAAAATATTCTGAATGTAGGGACACTTGTCAAGAATTCCTACTGTGTTTTAACTTATCTGTCTCCCTAAAATTTGTTCACCAAGAATTTAAAATGAAGAAAAGGTGCTGTCTCACTTGCAATAAGAAAAATTGCTAAAGACAGTAATTTGAAAAGTATTCTGAGAATGAATATTTCATTTTGTACCATAATCATAATAGGGATTGCCATGTAATGTCGCTAGACACTGTGGTGGCTACTTTGCATACTGCCTTATTTCATTACAAAAACCCTGAGGTAGGTAGTATTATCTCTGTGTTATGAGTGAGACTCAGAGAAATGCATTCAGATGCATCATAGGCCAAATAGTGGGCACATTTTATTTTTTTTTTTGAGACAGGTTCTCACCATGTCGCCCAGCCTGCCATTGAACCTGTAAGGCTCAAGCAATTCTCAGCCTCCCAACCAGGCTTGTGCCGCACCCTACCTGGTTTAAACCCAATTTGGGGAGGGGCAGTACTTGGGATTGAACTCAGAGCTTTCACATTGAGCTACACCCACAGACTGCCCCACCTTTTTTTGTTTTTGTTTTTGTTTTTGTTTTTGTTGTACAGAGGATCAAACTTGGGTCCTTCAGCTTGTGAGGTAGGTGGCAGAACCACTTACACTGAGCTAAATCCCCAACCCTTCCCCACCTTTTTAATTAAAAAAATTTTTTGGGAGACAGGATCTTTCTAAGTTGCCTAAGCAGGACTCCAGGTTTGATCCTCCTTTCTCAGCCTTCCAGACTGCTGGGACCATACCCAGCAAACCTTTGTTCTTAAACATTGTTATATATTGTATTTTATTTTTATTTAAAATCATTTCCTGGCTAATTTTTTGAGTTAATGTTTACAATTAATATACTTAACATTCCATTAAAAAATGAAACCATGTTCTAATATGCTAAGAAACATTTTAAGGGCATGTTTTATTATATCTATACTTGCAGGGTATGCTGATACGAAATTGCATTTTATTTATATATATATAT